GTGCTATGCAACTGTAGCTCAGAGCTGCGTGCATAATGTCAGTCGTGAACAAAGTTTGGGTGTTTGGAAATACGAACCAATGACCCCCAGGTTGGTGAAACGAGGATACTCGCCACCCCAGTGAATTTGTGTCAGTTTGCGCCATCGGAAGAATCGCTTTCTTGGGTTGACGGTGGCCTGTGCTACAACCTGGTGTCGGAAGAGGTCGAACAGGTTGGCCATATTATATGCACCGGCGGCAAGGCACTGGACAAGGATGTACGAGAGGTAGAAGTTGGACGCCTTGGGCAAGTTCTCCGACAGCAGATCCTTGACGGAAAGCGGATCCTTGAGGATCTTCTCCAACGCAGCTGACGCAGCTGAAGTGAGAGTTGTGACGAGGAAGACCTGGACGATCTGAAAGGCGAAATATGCGTTTTGGACATACAGCTCGATCAGAGCGTATGATGGGATACCGGCAGCTCTTCCGCAAGCTACAGTCAACGGTCAGCATGCACGGTCTGGTGAGCTTGCTTGGAGAGACGCGGGGAAGTACTTACCTCTGAGCATCCCAGGTACGGCAGCCATGAGCCATGAGAGCGCCAAGGCCGGTAGAAGACCTTTGATGATGTCGAGTATTGGTTTGGGGATGATGAAGATCCACTTCATGAATGGTGCGAGCTTGGCCAGCTCATCGAGATTGGACACCATTCCCACAAAGGCAGAAGGAAAGGACCAAAAGACAATGGCCACGGTGATGACTCCCATCATGAGAAAGCGACGCATGATATGCTCCCACCACTTGATCCTCAGAGCGCCCCAGTTGATCTCTTCAGGCCGGATTCCGATGAAACGCGGCGACATATGTAGAGGCTGGTGGTGGGCCAGGATCTGAAAGGCAGACTGGGCGCTGGCCTGGCTATCGAACTCGATAAAGGCCGCGCTCAGGGGCGATCCGTCTCCACCACGGTGCTTGCGGCGGAGCTTCCAGATATCGCGATTGAGGGACTTCAGCCGGGCTCTGCACCACCTGATGGTGTCAACACGTCGTCCAAAATTCTTGATGGGGCGGTGATATGGCCGCTTGTCGGCTGAAATCCACATGGCAGCCACGGAGCCCCTCACGTCGGGGAGGGACGGATCGAAACCATAGGGATGCGTATACTCCAGGTCTACTGTGTTCTCGGTTGTCTTGTCGGCATCTGACGAAGCCGTGTCCAGAACCGACAACTGGCGCTCGGCAAAGCGGATAGCAGAGCCGATCTTGCCTTTCTCAGCATCGTCTTGGGCTGCAATGCCTTGTTGAGAAGAAGGGGCTGGCGAAACTGGAACCAATGGTTGCGGGGCGGATTCGGCGGGGAACTTCTTGAGGTGCCTGTTACGGGCCCTGTTCGCGAGCCTGATCAGGCGTATTTCGGCCTGTTCCAGACGCTCTGCGGTTTTCTCCCTGTCCTCGACCAGCCCGCGCAAGTACCGCGTGTTGCGGGGTATCCAGACGTTCTTGGCCTCGTCGCCGAACAGCTTGCGGAGCTTGGCCTCCTCAAGGTACGGTTTGGGAATGCAAGTGAACAAGACCGTCCTTGCTGAGAGCCGCTTGGCGTAGTTTGGCGACAGTAGGTAGGCCTGGCGGAGGTTGATGTAGTAGATGCATTCTCTGCAGATCATGAAGAGAACAAACCCTGTACCCGTGTCAGCAGTGAGCGGTCATGCAGACGGCGAAGGACGAACCGAAGAAGCACCATGCCACAGCAGCATGGGCAAAGTAACGGGACGGCAGTTTGATGTTGCCGATGGTCAGTCTCTCCAGCTCGGCCAGTCTGTTACCCCCTGTGCCGTGAACAGGCAGCAAGATCGGCCATGCGGCAAAGACGCCGACCAAGCAGACGATGGAGAGAACTCGGAGGAAGCGGAGGAAGAAGAAGGCGTCGAGAGAGCAGTTGTTCAGGATGTAGTTGTCGTCGATGGCGAAGAAGGGCAGGATCCAGTTGAACCAGCCGTCGGGCAGTGGCGGGGCGGTCCGTCTGCATCACGATCAGTACTTGGCCGCTGCGCGCATGCGGGTGTCCGATGGGAAGAAGCGTCTTCGGTCGCACACGTACTCGGGGCCGCGCAGGGACGCAAACGTCCGCGGCGCATAAACACGGGGGCATTTTTTGCGGAGTAGGATGAAGATGGACAGGCATATGGCCGAGTAGATGAGCACGGGCACGAAGGTTGTCGCAAGCGTGCTCAACGACGAGGCCGCTTCGTCCGGTTTCGGGGCGAGGTCAGCGTGGCTCAGCGTGCCACCGGTGCTGTTGTCGCGCCCGGATCCGATTCTCGGGTCGGCGCTCTCATTCTGCGGCGCGCCGGGTCAGCGGATGATGTCCTTTGTCTACGGGTCGGGCCCGGCCCGTCAATTCGGGGCAGCGCCCGAGGGGAGATCGAAGATCAAAGATCGGATGAAACCTACAAATCGGCGGAACAAATGGTGGAGCAGGTGCTCGCTCCACCCAGACTCCATTGTCTCGTCTCTGTGCGCTCGACATGCGATCACAACCGCGACAGCTGGTGCCGTCGGCGCTGCAGCATCACCTGTCAAACTGGTATTTGGAGGACTGGCTGAATTGATGGAAGTGGAGGAGTGGGCGGGAATGGACGACCTGGGAGCAGGAGCCCACTTGCTTTAGCGGTGTCTCTCTTCTGCACCGCAGCCGATGGCGCCACTGCAATCGTGCGAGCCCTGAGAGGGAGCTTGGCCTGACTTTTCAGTGGCGGCCAATCAAGACGGCGGCCTCTATCGATAGCGCGTTTAGCGCGCCGCCAGCGCAAGCCACAGTGGAGGAGGAAGCAACAACCGGCCACGCTTATCACGGCTTCCCCGCATCAGATTCCCAGGGTGTGGGTACTCGACTTTTGTCGCAACATCGATTTTGTCGCAAATGCGATTGAGACAGGAATCGAACAAAACCCAGATTGATGGGCCAGCTATAGCAAACTGAGCTGTCCTAAATCCCGTGGACGTGGACTGGGAGATTGGTGTTTAATTGCTACCCGATGGGGCGGCCCGCAGATCGCTCGGCCTTCGTCGATCAGTGATGTAACCTCAGACAAATTTCCCAAATTTGGACCCCTCTTTCGGCCAAGATCTGCGCCGTCGCGATTGAGTTGTCGCCCAAGCAGCGCCACCTGCCACTAACGTCGCCATCGCTTCTTTTCCCCCAGAGCCTCACGGCGCGACAAGCCAATCTGGATGACAAGGCATGCCGTTGAAGGCATGCAATTTGGGTTGCTGACTGCTGAAAGATTAAGTTTATTCCATCGCTTCTGCGAATGCGCCCCGGAGCGCCAGCTGAAAGGCAGACAGGCCCTCCCCACGCGCCACGAAACACGAAGCATCCCCGAGCGAGCAAACACGACATCTCGACAACACCGAACGCCCTTCGACCAGCGCGCCCGAAGTCGGCAGCTCGAAGCGACTTCTCTGCAGCACGCTTGCCCAGTGCGCCCAATTCCAACATCTTGAGCACAGCGGTGTCGAAGCCGATCGCCTGCAGTCAACAGGTGCGCATCTCGATGGTAACGGGCGAGCCCGTGCCAAAATGGGCCAAAGGTACCGGCGCCGACGCTCCCAGATAATCTCGAGGCCGCAGCAAAAAGCTGAACATGCGCTTCCCGATCTCGAGCGTCGGGCGCGTCCCGCCTCGGGGCTCTTCAATACCCGCGCGTCTGCGTGCACACTGGCCATGAACGCCCTGAACCCATTGATGCTGCCCAACACGCGCGAGCCGGCGCTTTTGCCTGTGTTATAATAAACCGCCATGCGACGGCGCCCCCTTCCAGATGGTGGGCCAGCGACGTGTCTGTTGCGAGCCTTGAGGCGAAGGTGTTGTTGCCCCCAACGCCCCTAGCGCCTCTGCCTGGTGGATATTGTACGGCATCGTCGTCTTCAGCTCGCGCAGCAGCTCCTCGTTCTCCCTGACGATTCCAGTGCCCTCGACGCCGACAAGCCTGCATGCTGCTGTACTGGACCAACACCGTAGAGGTGGCTGTGTCATTCCGTTCCGCAAGTGCCATGCGCGTGGGCTCCCGGTAATTGACAGCCATGAGCAAATTGGTAATCTCCTTGAGATTCGGCGCCCGCTGCAGCGCTGGCAGACGTCGACCTCGTCGGAGACGCTAGCCTTGACGATGATCATGTGCCCAAACAAACCCATCCGATGATGACAAAGCTCCAGATCCCTTGCCCACAACTTGCAGGGCTTCTCAAAGTAAAACCTGTTCAACAGCGGCCACACCAGTACCATCAGCAACCCCATAAGCGTATCAACGATGCCCAAGCCCCGCCGAGGTGGCGGGCCCAACATGCCAGAGAATATCATGGCGGACTCGAAACCCGTAATAATCCCGGCTACTTGCCCGCATGCCTGCTCTGCGGCCTTCAAAATCATGTTGAGAGGATTCAGGATTCAGAGGATCGATCTCGGCTGCAGGGTCTCCATCCCGGCAAGGCTCGGGTTCCGCGGACCAAGCTGGCGGGACTCTAGCATTGACCACCAAAGTGGGGGACTATGGGGGGTCAAGTCCCAGCAGCCTCCCCTGAGTCTTCTACCGCAACCTCGGAATGATACACCCTCCTCAAATACGGCGTAACCTACTTGGCAACGGTACAAGACAAGACGAGGCGAACAGTGGCTCAACGGGGAGGCAGCTAGCGAGAATGCAGAAGGGCCCGGTTGCTTCAGCCGCGTAAACGACACAACTGGGTCATATCTCGCTACGTACGATTAGTAAATGTTTCCAAAGACAGAAAGTATCGGATCGTGTCGTCCAAGTCGCTGGCAACAGCCCTCCATCACCCCTGCCCGCTCCACCCACTCCACAAACCCACACAGGCGGAATACAAACAAATCCACGAGTCAGAATCACCATCAACAAGAAGCGTCAGTGGTTAAGTGGTAAAATCCATCGTTGCCATCGATGGGCCCCGCGTTCGATTCGCGGCTGACGCATCCGGTGATGCCCTTACGGGAATCACCACCGCCCGCTTGGCTCAGTGGTAGAGCGTGTCACTAGTAATAACAAGGTCGTCAGTTCAATTCTAGCAGTGGGCAACTTCTTCCCCTTCGAAGGAATAGAAGTGATAACTTCGGTTTTTTTTTGTGGCTTTCGGCCCCTCTCAGGGGGAAGAGCCACTTTATAAATGGCGATTTGGTTTTTTTTGCTGCTCGAGTGCGTGTGTCGCAATGATTTGAGATCCTGGCTCATCTCTGATGGTGCAACGTCATCTCATGTTTGGTAGGATAGGGGTTGAGGCGGCTTTGGAAGCCCGACTGGAGTTATTGGCTTGGAGCAAAAAGGTGATATGCACAGATGGGACTGGAACTGAGGTGTCAATGCAAGCGTGCGGCGTGGAAAGCGGCGGGGCCTTCCGCGACTGCTGTGTGACGGTACCTGCCTGCCCAACGTCCGCTCTTTCCTTCCGTGCCGGGCTCCCCGGTCTCCGCGGGCGCCGACACGGCATCCCTTTATCAAACAAAAAGCGGAGATCCGATGGGCCGAACTCCTACATGCTTCCTTCCTTCCATCAATACTAGTGTCACACATCGGACAACGCAACCCTTTGCAACAGCCTATTGCACAGACGCTACGCGCATCCAACGCCAACGACATGGGTCACCACAACCGCCACTTTGCTGGCGACCCATATGCCCTGAAGGGATTTTGGAGCCCTCCAACAAGCACAGCAAAGTATGTACGGCCATTGCATCGAGACAATGGGTGATTAGAGCAGACCTCGCTGACCACGCCCGCTACTTCCAGTTTCTGCGAAGAGGATTACGTTGTTACCATCTACATAGCCGAATTCATTAATGCGCTCTCAAGCCTGGCCTATTGTACGTCTGTCCAAACTCGGATTTGGCAACCAACCGCAAGGTGTTTCGTCACAGGGAGCTAACCCAATCGGTAGCATTCCTCGCCGTCCGATTCCCTGGGAAAGGCCGAAAGCATGACTCCCTCTCAGTGGCCCTCTTCTTTGTCGGTATAACCTCTACAGGCTACCATGCCACGCTCCGCCAAGGGCCGCAGTTTTCAGATGAGATGGCTATGCTACTTCTTGGCGGTTGCCTCTTACAGACGCTGTACACCCACGGCCAGACACAGGTGGTCAAGCCCCTTATCACTGGACTCGTGGCCCTTGGTACTGGGTTCATGACAGTTCTTTATGTTCGGTCTGGCAAGATTATCATCCATTTGCTGACGTTTACCGCTATGGTGACCCTTATCGGGTTGCGTACCCTGTATCTCATCTACGCTGGTTCCAGGCCGGCGCTGGAGAAGGCTAAACTCGTGCGGCATTTCAGGAAGGCCTCGGCCATGCTTGTCGTGGCATTTTTGCTCTGGAATGTGGATCTGGAGTGGTGTCATGAATTGAGGGCGATTCGTCATAAGCTGGGTCTCCCGTGGGCCTGGGTGCTGGAGTTGCATGGCTGGTGGCATGTTCTCACAGCGTTGGGCGCTGCGGAGTATATCGTGCTGGTGAGGGCTCTGTGTACTACCAGGTAGGGCTCAATCCTGTGTAGCTGTTGGAAGATCCTGTTTTGGAAACGAATCAGTCAAGCATCTGCTGCTTAGTGCCAACGGGGCAGGAACTCGGCGAGGCTGGCACCGTGAGTTCAAGGGCAGGTGTGACGACGGAGAGATGGAAAGGAATTTAGGTAATGAAGTAAGGCTCCGGATTAAGGTGAGCGAATTTGGCTATTCAAAAAAAATCAGGTTCAATTCTGATAAATAATCTCATCTATACTGACGGTTGTCCAAGAAGAAGTTAAAAATCAGCTCAAATAGAAGAGACAACCGCGTTCACCGGCCGGTCATCGCAGTTGATCACAAAGCTGCCTTGAGACCCGTCAACTCCTCGCTCAGCTTCCACAACCTATCCTCGCTCTCCACATCGTACGCGTGCGAAGCAACTCCGGTGCTAAGGATCGATGTGAGGTCATCTGTGGGCGGCGCAACTCTGCATGTCGCCAGATACTTCCCGCCCCGTCCCTCCCAGACCTTACCGACCGCTGCCCATATCGAGGTAGCCGCCCCCTGCTCAGGAGTCTGCATAGCTGCCATGATGGTAGCGTCACTCGCCCATTGTTTCTTGGTGGCTTCATCGGCATGAACATACAAACCCGACCAAATGGCGCCGGGATGCACCGAGGTGGCATGAACGCCAAGGGCGCCATACACCCGATCGATGTAGTTGGCCGTCCAGATGTTGGCCGTTTTCGACTGGCCGTATGCGCCGTAGGGCTGGTAGGCTCCCGGCTTGTCAAAGTTGAAGTCGTCCCAGACCACGGGGCAGAAGCGGTGCGCGGAGGACGTGACGTTGACGACGCGGGAGTTGAACTCGGGGGTGCTGCTCTTGGCGAGGGCGGGGAGAAGCAGGACGGTGAGCGCGAAGTGGGCGAGGTGGTTGACGCCGAATTGGCTCTCGAAGCCGTCTTGCGTGGTGCCCTTGGGCGGGGCCATGATGCCTGTTGTTGATTAGCTCGGATTATTTTCCGGGGAAAATTGTTTGGTGAAGGGAACCTCACCAGCATTATTAACGAGCACATTGAGCTTGTTCCTGCTGCGGTTGAGAAATTCGGCTGCGGCCTTCTTGACCGACTCGAGCGAGTTCATGTCCATCAGGATGGCCTCGATTTTGCCGTGCCCGGGGCTCTCCTTGCGGATTTGGTCGATGATTGGCTCGGCTTTCTTCAGGTCCCGCGCGGTGAAGTAGACGTCTGCGCCGGTGGCGTGCAGGGCCTGAGCGGTGGGGATGCCGATTCCGCTTGTGCCGCCCGTCACGAGGGCGACTCTTCCCTGCCACTTGCCGAGCACGTCGTTATCTTTGACGACCTGCATGGCTGTGGGACGGGCGTCGCCTGGTCCTTGGGAGGGAGCGTCGTAAAGAGCGGCGTAGGGGTTGAGGGGGTCCGACATGGTGGGAGTATGAGACGGGATTGAGGTTGTGGGGGTCGAAAATGGGGGCCAAATGTAACAGGCAATATGCAATGTGTTTGGTTTGTGGGAATGGAATGTTTGGAGGCTGAAATTGGAAGGAGATGTGCTTCTTTGCTGAACCTGAGGTCGAACTCCGGATTTTATACCTTGAGTTGAGCTTCATGTTGAACGCATTCTCTGTCCGACATGCCCTAACTCCGGACACTAAGCTAACTCCAGCTTGGTGAGGTTGAAGCTCGAACATCGCATTCGCACTCGTCCGAAGTTGACTAAAGCAGCTAAGAGACATGATGCAAAATCCGAATCCGAAATGTAACTGCAGGTGTGGATTTGAGTTGAACCATCGGACATATGGCCCTAAGCCCGATGGGATTGTTTGCAACGACGCCCAGCGAACCCGTGAGAGCGGACGGGCGCTTAGAGCCGCGCCTTGGAGCGGAGGGAGCGGACAAAAGCGGGTCCTGGAGCGGCGTGGCTTCCCATGCGCTGACGCCGTTGGCCAGACACCCTCGCTGCGATCAGACACAAACCAACAACCCCCATGTTTGCGCCTCCCAAGTCTCTGGTTTCACGGGGCCTCAACCCGAATCACACTCCTGGCAACATGCATTTGACTCAAGTTTGCCTCTCCCTGACTGAATGTGGACCAGTAGGCGAAAGGGAACGGGGAACGAGAGAGGACAGTAGAAAACCATCGTCATTCGTCGCGCTTGCCTGCTTTTAATTTAGACTTCTGACTCGACCACCCAACGGTGTCCAACCCCAACAACTGCCGCTGCCGCTGCCGCCTCCGCTCCCGCATCCCCAGTCTGACAACAGCACATCGCCACTCCGCCTCAACGTCCGCTCTTCTCGGTGCGACGACCGGACTCCACCCTCGGCGGCCCCGCGCCAACACTGTGCATCATGTCGGCGAACAAAGCCCCTTTGGCCTGTCAGAATTGCCGGTAGGTGATCCGAAAGACCCGGCTGGAATGAATGAATGAATGCAAGGCCCGCGCAGCTGACGATGACGCAGGCGTCTGAAAAGGAGGTGCACGCGCGAGCTTCCCTTTTGCTCATTGGTATGCCCGACCTCCAGTTTGTTCTCTCTCTCTTGTTCCTGTGCAAGTTTGGCAGGCCGCTCCCGAGACCCGCCCAGGCTGATGACATGGCGCCAAAATAGTGCGTCCGGCTTGGCAAGATCTGCAACTACATCCAGAGAGAATCCAGAGTACCCGAGATCACGACTGGTGACGGTGCCGACGGCGATACGCTATGGGCTAGAATCCAACGACTCGAGGGTGTCGTCCTTGGACCCCCCTCCAGTCGGTCCAGCACAAGCCCCCAGTCTGCCGTCAGCGGCGGACCCTTTACCCCTTCGCTGGGGTTTGACGGTATCACTTCTTCCAACTTTCCCTCCTCTTTCTTCCTCGATCCAGACTTCTTTTCCGCCCTCTCGGGCGACGCCCTCAGCTCGGCCACGCTCCCTCTCCTGGCTCCATGTCTCGAGTTCTTGGGCATGGACTTGATACCACTCTGTCACGCTTATGTCGCTACCATCAACCAATGGCTCCCGATTCTGAGCCCGAAGCGGCTCTTCCACGACATCCGAACCTACACACACGCTGATCCTAACCCGGGCTTGGTTCTCCTCCTCGCTTGCATCAAGCTCGTCTCGGAGACCGAGTACGCTGGGAACTGTCTGGAGTACAGGCTGGTCAAAGCCTTGTCGTCGAGCGCTGAAAATGAAGGCATCGTGTCGCTCCGGCTGATCCAATCGCTCGTGTTGCTGGCTGCGTACGAGATGGGGCATGGCATCTACCCTGCGGCCTATCTCACCATCGGTCGCGCCGGTCGGATGGCTGTTCTCTTTGGCCTCCAGGACAGACAGGTGATGCCGCAACTCTTCAAGCCGGCGGACTCGTGGACGGTCCGTGAGGAAGAGCGCCGGACATGGTGGGGCATTTTCATCCTGGACAGGTGTGCCTCCTGCTCTGTTAATCTGGGGGAAGATGGCTGACTCTCTTAGGTTCTGCCATATCGCTACCGACTCCCTACCGCGGACTATCCACGAACGCCCTTTGGGCCTCTCGCTTCCGATCAACGATATGGGCTGGAGCAAGGGAGAGCT